GACTATTAATCATATGTTGATGATGAAAATAATAATAATGAAGAAATCTGACGATGTTGTTGTTTAATTATTAGTTAAATTAATTGTACACATGGATTTATCAACATTATTCATTAAACATAAAATTCTCCAAATCACTAAAAATATTATTATATATACATTTTTTAACCTTTTTTCTTTATTGATTAATACATACTTATACATGAATAACAAATTGTTGATCTTGATGTGTATAGAATAGATATGTAGATATAAATAAATTTTTATTCAAAAGAAGAATACATCTTGTTTCATTCTTTTCTCTTGTGATAAATTCACCAAACAAAGAAAGATTTTTTCAAACTTCTGTAATGAATTATTTTGATCTAAAACTTTGTTGATATTTAGATATGTTCATCCAAAAAGAATATTATTGTAAAAATTTAAGTGTTTAAAAACTTCCATTGTGTTGTTTTTTTCGACAGTCTATGAAATTGAATCAACAGTTTTTAACATTAAGTATGCCTACTTAAGTAATAGTTTGTATTTTATCATAACAAATAAAATAATTATACATAAATGTTGTTATTGATTATCATTAATAAAAATAAACAAAACAATTTCATTTTCATTCCAAATGAGATGCAATCTAAAAGAATTCATAAATAAATCATTATATATGTTAATGTTAACAAGAGAGAAAGGAAAGAAAAAAGAAATATATGTGAAGAGAGGAATTTTCTCTTTTTTTTTTGCCTTTCTCTCGTCCATAAGTCATTGTTCATGTTGTTATCATTGACGATCAATGATCAACATGTACAATGAAATATGTATATCATTTTCGACGAGAGAAAAAAATGATGTTTCAGGGTATAAATACGAATGATTTTCTATGTAAAATCATTCAAATTTTTGAATCAAATAATAATCATTTTTCTTTTATGTTTTAGATTGGCTTCAACCAAACAATATGAAACAATTCAACAACAAACCAGACAATAAAATAAAATGTAGGTATTAGTTTTACTTTTTTTTAATTTTACGATCATAAGGATGGTGGGGGTAAGGCCTCCTTTGATCTTTTTATTATATTTTTATTTTATTTTAGAGAATAAACAATGAAGAAAAAGATAACATTAGGGTATGTCATCTCATTCTATTTCATTAAATAACATTGATTAAATTTTTTCTCTGTTCCTTTCAGCTATCAATATCATCGCGTCACCAGCATCAGACATGGTAAGTAATTTTTTTTCTTTAAGATGAGAATAGGTAGTGAGATTGAGGTGTTAGGGTGAGACTAAAAAAAGTGAGTGTTAGTAGAGAGTAGACTTCTGCGTGACCATGATTTTTTGGTCACGTCACGTCACGGTCACGAGCTAACTGGTCACGGTCACGTTTATGGTCACGAAGATTTTTCCAAACTAGTCGTGGTCACGTCACGGTCACGAGCTACCTGGCACGGTCACGTTCATAGTCACGAAGATTTTTCTAAACTAGTCACGGTCACGGTCACGGTCACGGCCACAGTCACGGTCACGATCACGGTTATAATCATGAGAGAATTATGGGTTCTTTAACAGTTACAGTTAATAAAACTAAAATAATTTTACCAACAAACGACATCTACAGATGATTATTACAATTGATAATTTTTCCTAAGCAGATATTGGTTTATGAGAATATCCAATTAAACTCTATGTTAGCAATTTTCAATTGATGTTGATAGGTTAAATTGTTGTCAAAAATAATCTCTTACCGATGTGGTACACAGTGTTTGTAACAGTGAGAGTGAACTATTGTGACAAAGTAGCCAAGATCATTTTACACTTTGATGACAAAAATAAAATGTCATTTGACTTTTTATTTTAGATTTCTATTAGAAACATTCCTGGTACACCATCTTATTCTTCTTTCTTTCATGAATTATGGGTTCGAAATTATTAACACGTACTGAACTTGAAAAAATTTTAAAAAACAATGATAATACAATAACATTAAAAAAGATCGAACAGACCGATAATTGTTCATCGTTTTGGCCACACTTTAGTCTCGTGTATGTAAATAATGTGGTTCAAAATTTCGTATTATGTGATAAATGTAGAGCAATAATTACTTACAAAAGTTCAACAGGTACTGGTGGTTTAAAAAAGCATTTATTATCGTGTGAAAAATATTCATCATTAAATGCAGCACAACCAGCTATTACTACATATTATAAGAAAACTAAATCAGCTGTACCAGAAAAAATAAAAGAAGAAGTAACTAATGCTTATATTGAATTTGTTGCATTGGATGGTAATTCATTCAACACTCTATCTCGAAGTGGTTTTAAACAATTAATTGAAACAGTTTTTAAAGCTGGTCAATCTACAGCTGATTTTCAATCATTTGAAGCTTGTGATCTTTTACCACATCCAACGACAGTAAGTGTAATACCAGGGCTTTGAAATAGTAAAAAATTTCTTTTTATTGCTGTAGGTTAGTCGTAAAATTAATCAAGTTTATGCTTTTCGAAAAAAGCAACTAATTGAATGGTGTAATACACTTGATAGTTACGTGGTGGTGGTTGATATGTGGACAGAGAAATATACCGGTAATTTCTTTTACTCTTCGAGTTAATATAGTTTTTCTAATCTAACATTTAGGTATTCATTTTTGTGGTGCTACTTTACGTTCAATTGATTCAGATTTTCATTTTCATTTGTTTTCTCTTGGTTGTAAGCCATACACATTAGCTAATCAAACAGCTCCAAATATTAGAAAATTTATTGATGATTTACTAGCTGATTATAATCTTTCATTAAATCCAAACTCGTTCATCGTCAGCGACAATGAGCCGAAAATGCTTGCTGCTTTACGTGGTGCTAATCGAGTAGGATGTAGTGACCATTATCTTAATAAAATATTAGAACATTCATTCACAGCACCAAATAGTGATTGTGTTCAGGTGATTCAAGTGTTTGATATTATAAAAATACTAGTTGCAAATTTTCGTCGTAGTCATCGACAGGTAAAACTGTCGAGAAAGCTTCAAACATTTAGTCCAACTAGGTTTAGTGGTGCGTATTATATGCTGGTAGGATACACTTGACTAAAACAAGTAGCTATTGAGCATTATACTACGATATATTCTAGGATGTCTTCAATATTGCATATAATGAACTTATTGATACTTTTTGTGGTTCACATTATCATGATTTTGAATCTATTGATAAAGACTTATTACAAAAAATTTGCGAGTTTCTTCAACCATTCGATGAAACTATTACAATTCTTAGTGATGAATCACAACCAACACTCCATAAAGTTATTCCTCTTCGAAAGTTTTTGATCGAACATTGTGTACTAAAACAAGAAGATTTATCTGGTATCAAAAAATTGAAACAATTTTTAAGTAAGCGAAATATATAATGACCGAAATAAAAAATTGATTTTTTAATTACTTATAACTAATCGATCATTGAATATTCAGAGGAAAGCTAATGACTTTTTTAAAATTGAGAGAATATTTATAAATAAAATACATGACAAGTAGATATGTGCTCAAATACATTAACATCTAACTCAATTCTGATACAGCAATTCAGACAGAGACAATATAATAAAGACAAATCGTGCAGGTTTAAAAGAAAAATATAACCAAATAGATCTGAATAAACCAAAGAAAAGAACATTGCTAAAAAATTTTGCAGTTTCCTTTGAAGTATGTGATTATTGGTATGTTCGAGAAATTGAATTATGGATAATGCAGACATGAATCATTGAAACGTTACATCTGATATTTATTTCGGTAATTGTTTTCATTCTTTAGAAAAAGAAATCATAGACCTATGGCCTATTCAAAATGAACATTTATTAGCTACATTACTACATCCTCGATTACGAGATTTTTCTGGTGATCAAGTATTAAGACACGAAGCAATTCAACTATTGCAATCAACTATTGATATTTATACTAATTCAACTAATAATAATTCATCAATTTCAAGCATATCTTCATCATCAATTTCTAATACATGTTCATCTTCATCATCAATTTCTAATACATGTTCATCTTCATCATCAATTTCGTATACATCTTCAGCATCAATTTCTTATCCATCTTCATCAATATCAATTTCTAATACATCTACATGTTCATCATCAATTTCTAACACATCTTCATCTTCATCATCAATTTCTAATACATCTTCATCATCAGCTACTTATGCATCTTCATCATCACCTGTTGATAATTTCGTTACAACCAAAAAATCAAACATTCTTTCGTTATGTTATGATAAACCACGAACTTCAAAACCAGTACTTGATGAAGTTTCTTCATGGTTACAAACTGATTTTGATACAGACATTATCCACGATGATCTGTTATTGTTTTGGAGGAACAAAAAAGAAACATTTCCAAATATTGCTAAGGTTGCTCGTAAGGTATTGGCTGTTCCTGCAGCCAATACCTCAGTTGAGAGACAATTTTCTTGTAGTAAAATTGTAATTGGTGATCGTAGAACCCGACTTGGTGCGGAAAAACTTGACAAACTAATCTTTTTACAGAAAAATTTACTGCCACTTAAACTTATGTTTGATTCGAAAACTGTTTTAACAAGTGAGTTAAAACGCAAAGCTGATGATATACATGAAAAAGATGAAGATAATAATTGTACTTCAAAAAAATTAAAATTTAATGAAGAATATGAATATTTAAGTGATGATTATGAAAGTGAAAGGGAAAACTAGCATCAGAATAATAGTAAAGTTGTTATTTGTACAAATTGAACTTATTGTTTTTTCTTTTTTTGTTTTAATTAAAATTAAATATGAAACATGAACATAATGAATAACTGCAATTTCTTATTTTTCAATTAAAATAGGAAGAAAATATGCTTTTTTTTACTTCAGTTTTCTCAGCCACGGTCATGTCACGATCACGACCTGTTTGGTCACGAGCTAGATGGTCACGGTCACGAGCTAGATGGTCACGGTCACGACCATAGTCACGGATATTTTTCCGAAATTAGTCACGGTCACGGTCACGCGTGACCGTGACCGTGACCGTGACCGTGACCGTGACCGTGACCACTTTGCAGAAGTTTAGTAGAGAGTGGGTGAGTCATGTCCATTTAGGTTAGGTCCCCGTTAGTTACAGGCCTTTCGGGTAGGCCCTAAAAACCCGCCAGGAACTGTCTTGGTGTCCGTGGCACACGACCAGGCTTATTCAGACTCATTGACATATCTCTCGCGGGGAGGGTATGAATGATATGAGTCTGTCCTGTGCGTGCATGAGCGTTACGCTCGCCACGGCTCCACCAGGATGGTTCCTGGTCGCGCGCGTGAATAGAATAGACATTCATTTCATAAATTCAACGTGATTTATTTGAAATGAAAGGGACGCAAAAAAAAATAATTCATCGTTTTGAGTCTATTCAATTGAAAAACGTTGAACACGATTATTCCCCCAATCGACGACATAGAGATTGCCATGCCGATCGAAGGACAAACCCTCAGGAGACTTGAACTGATTTGCTCCTTCTCCTTGACCATTTCCACCCACAATGATAGTGCCCTGTTTCGCTCCTTTAGGCCAACGCATCACTCGATGATTCGACGAGTCTGCCACATAGATGGTACCCAATGTATCGACGAACAGTCCGTAAGGATACGACAATTGTGTCAGAGCATTCCCTTTGCCTTGACCTCCAGCGACGACAATTCCTTCTTTTGCACCTTTATTCCATTTCATTACATGATGATTGTTGTTGTCTGACACGTAGACAGTCTGTTGTTGATCGACAAAGATGTAGGCCGGATAGTTGAGTTGATTGAGACCAGCATCTTCGCCATTACCACCAGCCACAATAGTTCCATTCTTGTCTCGTATTTGATATCGTCTTACTTCATGTTTTTCGACGTCAGAGATGTAGAGATCTCTCTGATCATCCATGGCCAATCCTCGACAAGCCATGTTGTCGATGAGGATTTCTCGTTGAATTGTGCCACTACGACGAGACCATCGTACGACTCGTCGATTCCCCCAATCACAAATAATGAGACTATCCGTCTCTTTGTCGATCAACACATCAGTTGGATAATTCAATTGATTCAATCGATTTCCTTTGCCATTGTCACCAGCTACTACTTGTCCATTTGTATCACCCATCTTCCATTGAATGATACGATGATTGTCGCAGTCAGCAATGACTATCGTTTGATCATCATCAATGAAGAGACCATGAGGCCCATAGAGTTGATTGGTGGCACTGCCTTGTCCATGATCTCCAGCAACAGTCACCCCATTCTGTTTCCATCGGGCATCGACTGGAATATTGAGAATTACTACTATGAACGAAAAAGAAAAGAAATCGTCGTTGTCGAAGGGATCTCGTCTCTCGTGAGAGCAAGCGCTAGAAATACGAGATTCGTCTTTGAAAACGCTCATTCCACAGATAAAAATTCAGAAGTCTTTTCCTAGTTTCTTATGAGAAAAAAAGGATTTGGTAACGATTCTTACATCTATGTTACTTCTAGTTTTTGCTAAGATCTTTTTGATCATAAAAATAGCACCTGGAGATTGCTGTAAGGAGGTTCTCAAAGAAAGAGTAATACTAATTCCATGTAAGTTTTTGATAGAAAAACATAAGGATCTGAAGATTTTTTTCAGAATTGTAAGAATTCAGAATCTTTTTGGCAGAATGATCATTTATAAGAACATCAGAGAAGATTCTATCTGTATCTTGTGACAAGAATATCGAATCGTTGAACAACAAAATGTCAAATCTAATCCCTATGTTTTTTAGGTTACCTTAAGGATACATGATTTTCTGTATGATGAATGTAGATCTGCCGAAGAATCTCTTAAGTATTTGCATAGAGAATGCCGGTGGAATTTTATAAGGCTTTTGATAAGTTATGTGAAGCTGTTCGAAGAACAACCGTGATGTACTCTGAATAAGATCATGAGAAGGTTTGGATACAGGCGAAACTGAACAAAGTTGAGACGATTCCACGCGAATCTATGTAATCTGAGAGGGCTTCTACTTTTGCAAATGCTGAAAAGATGGATGTCAATCCGAACGGAGCTCTCCAGTGACAAGCATTGGGATCTATGGATTTTATGGGCTTTGAAAAGAAAGTGTTCTAAAATGCTATTTTAAACTTTTGATGAACACCATCTTCAAACTATTGTATTAGGGTCGTCGAAGAGAATCTTGATGACTAAATAAAATACTCTGTCAAAATCTGAAAATCTAAAAATAATGAGTATCTTCTATGAGGATCATGTTATAATCCTTATGTAGTACTTGTTCTGAGAAGTCTTCTGTAAACTCGCATGTTATGGATATGTTCAGGAGGATCTGAAGAGTAAGTATTTTGGAATGGTTGATATCAGAGATGGCCAATTTCAACTCCGAAGTTGATGCTTTTTCTCATCAGAGTGAAAATGGAGTAGGAACAAGACAGAATGGAGGTGCCTATCTCTGAATTTTATGAAAACGTTTATAAAGCAATAAATTAATATACTACTAATTTATATCAATCGTAGATTTAATTATGTTCAAAAACTTATGTGTATTTAACTCTCGGATGCCCAAGCTAATTTTTGAAGACAATATGGTAACATGTGTTCATATTTCTATGATTTTGATTGCTGGACTGGTGTTCTTGCCCAAGTTAGATTGTTTTCCTCTTCAGTCTTGTAAAGTAATTATTAGAATTATAGTTTTCCTTTATTTAGAACAGTAAATACAAAAAATTCCTTGAACAAAGTGCTCATCGCAAACCGATTCTGGGAGGGTTTTCACTGAATTCTTCTGAACATAATGAATATCATAGGCACAAGGGCGGATATATATTAATAGAAGTCTCAGGATAATAATAATCTTCTCGAAGATTCTGAACAAGAATATTGAAAATAGACTAGATGCGACACCATGCACAAAAAGAATGCAAGAGAGAAGGGATATGCATGAGATGTAAAGTAGACGGGAAAGAAAAAAGAGACAGTGAAAATAGATGCATTTCTTTAAAGCTTTTGTCAGATTCAGAATAAAAGATGTCATTGGACATAGTATTAGATTCTGAGATTAAGAAATATATAAGAACAGAGTAAAGGACTCTGATCTGATTTTATCTGACTAAATAGGATTCATAAACAAAAGAAAGTTAAAGTATTACGTAATCCAAGTCTTGTCTGCTCTTATTTGATTCTGTGTGATCTATCATGTTCTTTTACTTATTTGAGAATTGTTGATTCAATAGTTTCTATTATGGAGAAATGTACAAAATACACAATGTTGTGTTATGAAAGTCGATTTTTTCTATTATTGTAGTCGTAAAATCAGTTTTGACTTCACAAATGCTTTATATAATAGATTAGTCAAGGTACAGTTGTATCTTGGAAATTTTCACATAATAGAGAACGGTTTTCTTCACAAAATATTTCGACAGAAAAAATATCGATGTCCAAATTTTTCTAAAACTATCACAAGATGAAAAATTTAATTTTTTTCTATTATCTTCTACTATACGTTGGAACATATATTTTTGTATTCCTTATTTTTCTATATTGATATCATTAATACAGAAATTATTTTATTTCATATGGTTTCTTTCTATATTGACAATATAGAAAATAATATATTAATTAATTTTTTTCTACCATATGCCTGGGAATATTTTTCTATATATATAATATAGAAAACGATATAATATTTGATTTACTTGAACTTATATGCTTATACATATATTTTTATTCTTAGTTTTCTATACTGATATTGATAATATAGGAAGCTTGTTAGCGTAGCTCCTTTTGGGACTGAAATGTGAAACTCACATATATTCTCTAGCCTCATTAAACTAATACAAAATATGTAAAGTGAAAAATCTTTTGTAGACTATAGTTATTTTGTAGGATAATCGAACATCAGAGTAAGAGTGTTTCTAATTTCTGCATTTCGAACAGAAATTTTCTTTTTCTATGGGCACCCTATTTTTTATTTTGCATTGCCACTATTCGCTCCTTATTATTCATTTTTTAAATTCGTTTTTCTTAATTTAACATTCTTATTATTATAATCATTGAATTAATTGGCAAATACATTTGTTTTACATATCCATTATATCTATAGCAGATTTTATGCACTATCATATATATATATATATATGTTAAGTAACTCAGAAACAATGATATTGATTATCTTTTAAAATTATAACTTCATCAACTTTGCAAAAAAACTATAGAAAGTCTGACGCCTGTTATCCTCAATTGCTAAGATCTGTAATGAGAAGTTGTCTGTAATGGAGATGATGGTGAAGGGAGGGAAGGGAAGCCGCAAAAATTCAACTTAAAACTTACACTCACTATTTTCTTTGAAAATATGTAAGTTCCCCAAAGCCAGTGATACAGATGTATTTCAAACTCGATGTCCAATGATTCTAATGAGAGACGACACTGAGTCTAAACTCTTCTCATTAAAGAGAGTCATAGATTTATAAAAATATCTATTGACATATGTTTGTTTTCGTAAGAGTCAAAATACAATTCTTATTTTGAGTAGATATCGATACCTATTCGCTAGTTAGATAATCTTCTTCAAAAATTTATGATTGAATTACTTTGTCTGTCACCTGATCTATATAAATAATATAGAATGTATAAAGTGTAATCGGAATATAGAGCTTCATATAAAACAAACAAGTCAAGAAAAATTTGTTTAACTTCATTGAAATCAGAAATGAAA